ATCCAAGAGGTTTTTCATTTGTCCCGTGCTTTCAGAGCATTTTTTCATTTGCCCTGACACTTTCCCTGGGAAAACCTGCGGTTTACCACTGAATCAGAACAAACATCAAGCTAAAGGAAAAACGATGGACGCACATTTTGGTTCAACGATCAGCAACGGGTTTTCCTAGGGGAAAGTGGCTGGACAAGCAGATGTGTGAACAAGCCCTAAGTTTGCACAATCAAAATGAATTAAAGCACAACCAATCCACTTTAAAAAGGCCAGACTTTTGCTGTTTATAAGATGATGGGAAACTGGTTTGAAAAGTAGGAGATTAACAGATGGTTAATGGCAAGACATGTAAACACTTTGAAAGCAAATCAGGATGAACGCTCATTGTCATATCACAGACAAATCAGAACAAATGCTCAATGAAGCCCAGATGTAGTCTAAATTCTCTGTAAGTTGGGTGTGAGCAGATCAGGAGGTTGGCACCCATCTGTCTGAAGAGACCTCCCCTGGACACAAGCTTGGGCAGTGTATATGGAGGTCCTGGGCTGCCCATCTGATAAGACCCCCCCTCTTGGCCTTGCTAAACAGGTTGTCTAGAGGAGTCCTTCAGAATATCAGATTGAATTCAATAGCACTCAAGGATGGCAGCCAGAGCCTTATTCGATCTAGACAACTGTAGGAAAAAAGCAGGTTGGACTTGTTTAAATGGTTCTTTCTTTTGCTGCAGCAGTCTAAATTGGTAAATAAATGCCTATCTCCACCAGCAGATGGCACTTAAAATGCCAACCACTTCAGAACTAGGAGTGAGATTCCTTCAGAGCTCAAAAAAGAAAAAAAAGAATACTTTCACTGATCACATAGGGCAGCACTCTATGGCCTGCTATTCCTAATAAAACAATTAATACCCTGTAGAATAACTAATAACATTCCTGTAAAATCAGCCTATTTGGTCTGCTTCTAAGGGTCAGAGTTAGTTGTTAGCAACTACACACAACAGGGTTTAAAAAATGTAATATAAGACACAGAGGGTAATTTTAATCAATCTAGCTTTCAGGGAGTGGAGATTTAACCCTTCCCTGTCCAGCCATGATTACAAAAATAATAATAATCTCCCCCTAGTTCTGCAGTTGGCCTTAGCTGGCAGGAAAGGTCTCCTAGGTAATCTAAGCATATATGCTCTGGAGGGTGGGACTCAAACCAAAGGCTTCAAGTTACAAGAAAGCAGATTCCGACTAAACATCAGCAAGAACTTTCTGACAGTAAGAGCTGTTTGACAATGGAATGGTCTCCCTATGGAGGTTGTGGATTCTCCTTCCTTGGAGGTTTTAAGCAGAGGTTGGGTGGCTATCTGTCATGGATGCTTTAGTTGGGATTCCTGCATTGCAGGGGTTGGACTAGATGACCCTTTGGGTCTCTTCCAACTCTACAATTCTATATCAGGCTAAGATTGCTTCACCTCATCCCCCAGATCTTCTATATAGGTCAAGCTGTTCTGCTCTTTCATCATAATAAAACTCATAAGATGACATTCAGCTCAGCAAAAGAGTAGATTAAGCCTCACATTTTAATTGTCAGCATAAATGACATGTTTTTCTGAATTTATGAACAAAGTTGTTAGAGGAGCAAATGGGGTTCAGTCTCTGACATTTCCAGTTGAAAAGGGATCTCAACCAGTGGGCTGGAAATACTCTTGCCTGTTAATGTAGATAATACAGTGGCAGGTGGTTCATTGATTTGAATGTATATAGCAGCTTCATCTGTTATGTTGTGAAACAAAATGTCTTTAGCACTAAATTTGTTGGTTTGTTACAGGAATTCTCTATCAAGATTATTCCACCCGTGTGGTCATCAGACTTCGAAAAAACTGAAAACCTCTCAGGGCTTTTCCCTACAAATGCTTGGAAAATGAAGATCCTAACAAACTTCGTTGGTACTCAACATATTATGAAGAAAACTTGCAAAAGTCATCATCCCATAGAACCTAGCTAAAGAGAACTTGAAGATCTCCATGCTATAGGATCTGGCTTGTGACTTCTGATCCTTGCAGTCGGGTCACCTGATGAGATTTTGAAGAATGCTGATTTCGGAAAACAAGGCTTTTAAGAGTAATGGAATCAATCACCAAGGTGGACTTGCATATCAGAATGTAGCCAGTTATAACAAAAATCAGTTAAACAGTGGAAATGGGAAGAGCCATACTGATTTTAGCACTTTCTCATCTCATACTAGAATAAAAGATAGCACGAATACTGCTAAAGAACTCCAGAAAGCTGACCATGCAAGAGGCGTGCTTGGGGAAAATGACACAGAAGGATCAAGCAAATATTTCACTCAATTGTCTAATTCTCCCGCTGATGGAATATGGGATCCAGTGATCCAGCAGAATATAAGATATACAGGTTTTCCAGCTGCTTATGACTCTCAACAGTTTAGTTGCTCATCTCCATGCCTTCTCAGTCCACTTAATAAAGAGAAATAGCTTTCCAGAAGGAAGGAATGCAAAACTGCAGGAAAACCACCCACAAAATAACCACATCACTACAGAGGGGAACTTTGGCAATACTGAATGTAAGATGTCCTTACATCATCAGAAAGCATCCTGTAATCACTTGCCTCTTAAGGGGGCACTACAGAATATGAATTCATCTTACAATGGATATACATGGCTGGATAGTAAGATACTAAATCCGGTGGCTACATCATTTGCAACTTATGGGAAGCAAAAGCAAATGAGTTCTCAGTTGTCTTCAAGGTGTTCAACTCAGTCTGGTGGATCTTCCACCAGTCCATCTATAGCCCAGCCTTCTTATGCACAGGCAGCACCAATGTTGAACTCAAGAAAAGATGGGAAACACATCTCTGCTAACATTCCTAACAGCTCAGGGTTTTCAAACTGCAATGAAAATAGGAAGCAACCTAACCCTATTGGACACACCCAGAAGGATTCCTTAGCTACTAGAGAGGGATACTTTGGTGAAGTATCCACGAATGCTTCCTCCAGGTGGCTGTCACAAAAGCATTCCATAAATGAGTCTGCGAAACACTATAGTTTTCATAAAAAGCAAAGCCAGTTCAGTACTGATGAGAGAACTAGGCAGAATGAGAGAAGACATAAAAATAATTGGATTCCACACCCAGGCTATGCAAGCCCGAATCAAACGCAGCCTGATATATTGAGAAGAGCAGAAGAACAGAACGGCAGCAATTTGTCTGACTTCATCAATCCTTCTTTCCTACCTCTCTTCCCATTAATGCCTGGTTATAAACATATGCCTAATTTTCCTCCATTTAATCCTCCCACATTTTCATCACCAGCTAATGTTGCATTTTCTCCATTGCCATTTCCGTTGTCTGAACTTGCTGACCTCCTTCACTATGATGACCTACCCTATTTGGGTCCTTTCTTTAACAAGCTCTTCTGTGGAGATTTGCCTGCACAATACTTGGCCTTTCCACCACCTCTTAACCACTATAGACCTCCAAAGCATCGCAGTGGAGCTGCAAATGAGCTCCATAGTCATCTAGAAGATTGTTATGAACAGTGGAGAGCACTAGAGAGGGAACGCAAAAGGTAACATAGTCTCTAGCAAGGTGAAACCTAGGGGAAGTTAATAGTGACATTAGCTTTTATGTTAATAGCATTATAGTGGTGCCTTGCAAGATGAAATTAATCCGTTCCACGAGTCTCTTCGTCTTGCGGTTTTTTCGTCTTGCAAAGCACGGCTATTAGCGGCTTAGCGGCTATTAGCGGCTTAGCGGCTATTAACGGCTTAGCGGCTTTAAGAAAAAGGAAACAAACTCGTAAGAACTCGCAACACGTTTCATCTTGCGAAGCAAGCCCATAGGGAAATTTGTCTTGCGAAGCACCTCAAAAAACGGAAAACTCTTTCGTCTAGCGAGTTTTTCGTCTTGCGAGGCATTCATCTTGCGGGGCACCACTGTACTGGTAACATTGTGGAGAGGTGGGAAAACTTACGACTGGGGACCATATCCAGCCTGACAAATCTTTTTCCAAGTTTGGATAACATAATCTGCATGGCTTCTTCGTTGTCTCCAGCTTCCAGGAGGACTGGGGCAAGACTGAAATTGCCTTCTTATATGGCCAAGAATGATTGCATAGTGTCTGTTGTTCACTGCCCGAGTGTTTTTTTGTCTGTAGGCTTTTTGGGGTTGATGGTAGGAAACGGGGGAGCATTTTTACTTTCTTTCTCGCCAGCTACAAACGGGTGGAGAGGATGGGGAAAAGCAATAGAGAGGAACATATTCCATTAATTCTGTTGCTTTCTCTTCAGGCAGAGGCAGATCTGGCCAGAAACTTCCCAGGGAAGCAGGTATCCAGCTCAAATAACGCTCCCTTCTCCCGCCTTCCTGACAAGCCTTCCCGAGTGGATCGTCTGATTGTGGACCAGTTCCGGGAGCAGGCAAGAGTAAGCACATTCACCCAAGATCTGGTTGATGCTTTGCTTCGTCACATTTTTGAGAAATTATGTTAGCCCAGTCTGAGGTGGGCAGCAGCCTTCCAGAGGAAGAAAAACTGTGATGGCCTTTAGAAGGGGTTGGAAGACTCATCTTAAAAAGGAGTTTGGGAACTGTTGGGCTTCTGGTTTAAAGTGGCTATTTTGTGTGTTCCTTCAAGCTTCGGCAAGGTAGGATAGAAATATAAATGAATGTACAATACAAATGAGGATGGCTGGATGCTTGAACCCTGAAGGGCCACTTCACTGTTTTCCTTGCTTCCTCTGCTTTCCCTGCCTGCCAGTAATTTCATAGCATAGTTTTATGTTTCTCATGCTGCAATGAGGAGTGTCGCTTCTATTCATGGCTGAATTGCTTTTAACTGCTTCTCCTCCAAACTATTTTCTACTAAATTTAGATTAGCTGCGTTCTCACATTCAGCGTGAAGTGCCTAGCTGCTGATTTTGGCTATCTGATTGTTTTTAAGTATTAAAAACCCTAATGAAGTATTCTTCTTTTTTAGGTACACACTTTAGTTGGGAAAATGGAGCGGCTTTGTGGTCATCCTGTCCATGGGAACATATCTGCCACTTTGAGATGTCATTTGGAAGCCATCTGTGCTACCCGAGCAAGGCGCAAGGATGAGATTGTTAATGCTGCTAATCATCAGAGGCAAGGAATATCTCGTTACAACAATGAAAAAGGCAAGTACAGTGGTACCTCAGGTTACATACGCTTCAGGTTACAGACGCCGCTAACCCCGGAAATAGTGCTTCAGGTTAAGAACTTTGCTTCAGAATGAGAACAGAAATCATGCTCCGGCAGCATGCTCCGGCAGGAGGCCCCATTAGCTAAAGTGGTGCTTCAGGTTAAGAACAGTTTCAGGTTAAGTACGGACCTCCGGAACAAATTAAGTACTTAACCCGAGGTACCACTGTAATTTCTTTGTGGCACCCGCAAAACGGACTTTTGGAGTAATGTTCCCATTCAGAGAGCAAAATCTTAATATGGGTTTTGGTTAAATCTGCATTCTGAAGTGAAAAGCCTACTCTGTTTTATGAATGATCACATTGTTACAGCAGGCATTAGGGGGCAGAGTCATAGTTCACGGGTGGAGCAGCTGTTTTGCATGCGGAAGATCCCAAGATCAGTCCTCAGCATCTCCAGGTCTGACTGGAAATGTCATCTGTCTGAAACCCTTGAGGTCTGCTGCCCATCAGAGTAGACAGTACTAAGCTGCAACAGTGGCCTGGCTCTGTATAAGACGTTCTATGTTCCTGTTATGTTAGAGTAGACATTTCCCCACCCATCCCACTGCCTCTTACAAGTGGCCTCAAAGCCCTGTGCCAGGTGGCTGGATCTAGGACAGGGGTCAGCAAACTTTTTCAGCAGGGGGCCGGTCCACTGTCTGAGGGAACTTGTGGGGGGCCAGACTATATTTTGAAAAATAAACAAACAAATTCCTTTGCCCCACAAATAACCCAGAGATGCATTTTAAATAAAAGGACACATTCTACTCATGTAAAAACACGCTGATTCACGGACAGTCCGCGGGCCAGATTTAGAAGGCAATTGGGCCGGATCCAGCCCCCGGACCTTAGGTTGCCTACCCATGATCTAGGATAATTCCTTTTTAGGGTTAGTAGTAGGATCATAGAATTGGAAAGTTGGAAGGGACCCCAAGGGTCATTTAAGTCCAACTTGCTGCAAGCAGGAGTACATTTTGTTGCAGTTCCTTCTTTTCTAATATAACCTGTTTCATCTCATAATGTTGCAACATTATGCATCTTCTTGCTTGTGGCAGTTGGTCAAAGAGAAAACATGTAACATCATGATACAGTACAAGGAAAGTTGCTGAAGCGGCAACTTTCCGCTTTGAGAGGCTGCTGCTTGTTTACTGTCAGGTTTAGTTGGTTGGGTGCAAAGTGTCTGGATTTATATTTTGTATTTGTAATGTATTTAGTACAGCACTCATATCTGGAGTTTCATCAGAGTCTTCTTCTCAGTCAACAAAAATCCTGAAGAAGGTCCTTCTAGAACTGAGACACAGATTACCGCATAGCTCTTTGCTTTATGACATGTAAATGCCAATATTGTGATTAGACACGTCATATTTATTATCCCATAGTTCTTTGCTCTTCTTAAAATTATCAGGATGCATGAGAAAAGTAGGTTGCTCCAGAGAGGCATTTTGTTTTTGTTTACAAGAGATCCTGAGTCAAAACTTGTGACAGGTGTGTTCAAATAGCAAATAGAAAACGGGTGGTTCATTCTGTTATAGAATTGTAAAACTTCAGTGTTATTTTATGTCCAAGCATTAAATATTCAAGTAAGACTCAGTAACTGAGGTCTCAATCCTGCTGATGTAAGTGTTGATGCTGAATGCAAAAGTAAAGCAGATGGGAACTTCTGGCCCAAAGGCCTAATTAAACCTGAAAGGGGGTCTAATTTGACCTGCAACTGTTTTTCCCAAAGCCCCGCTCAGGTGTGAGGCAGATAAAGGCAAGGCTGCAACCCCTGATTGTTCATTGGCAAGTGGGGCTTGTGATTCACTGCTTTTTAAATTTGATGCCAAATGCAAACCTCACTGAGGTTGGTTCCACTCAGGGGCTTCCAATTGAAACCAATCCCTGCTTGGATTGGCCAGGATCTTTTTTTTTTTTTTTTTTTTGCAGCATACTTTAGATCCAGCTGCCAGGATGAAAAGTTTCCTCAGTCCTGCAGCAGAATCTTCAAATGTTCATTTGTAGTGTTGCTTACAACACAGTCTCCTGCAGAAACATGCGCCTTAAGTCCTATGCCCTAAATGCATGAAAATATCACTAACTGACTGTTTGTGCATCTATTTAATGATGTGATATGGATTTGGAAAGTCCTTAATGCATACTTTTGGCAGTGAAATATTTCACCGCACTCTTGTCAGCTAAATACATTCTTATTTAGACAAACCTACCCAGATGCTTAGGAAATTGAAGTAATTTTAATCTGTTTTAGCAGTACTGTTGCAATTCTTCCTTGATTTTCTTGTTTTATCTTTTTGTAAACCACTTTGAGGTTTGTTTGTTTGTTTGTTTGTTTGTTTACCATCAAGCAATATAAATTTTATGAAATCAAAATAAATTAAATATTCACATCCAAAGGCTGGTTCTTTGAAAACGTTAGCAGACTCTATAGTACAGTATTGGGGAGAAACATCCCTCTTGAAATTGTAAATGATGCTATGCTGCTTTTGTTACAGATGTCCTTGCTCTGGCGGTTGCCCTTAAAGATTTGGCTTTCTTCACACGAAAAACACGTACAGCTTTATGGTGTGCTCTTCAGATGACCCTGTCGAAAACTTCAATGAACACGCCAGCAAAAAAAGAAGAAGTGGAAAGGGCCTTGCAAGAGCTCTGTCCTGTCATTGGTAGTTTGCAAGTGAAGGACATCGTGGAGCATGATGACAAAGAAAACAAGAGAGAGAACCACGAACTGCCTCCACAGGTCATACAGTGAATGCATCCAAGTAATTGCAGCAGTGTAGAAAATACGCCAGGCTTCCAGCAAGTCTAGTGGATCTGTGCTGCGTTTCCACTGCTGAGATTCAAGCCTAGATAACATGCATTTCTGTAGTAGTATTGCAGCAGTCTTAATATTGGTGGTATATGTCTAGGGTGTAAAATAGAAAGGGTCAACTTAAGTGGAGACAAGCAATAGTAGTTCATACTCTTGGCCACCAATCCAAAGCCATTGACTAGGAAACTAGCAAGTGGCGAAGCTAATTGTGATACCAATCGAACACACAGTGCCACTTCATTCCTCGGTTTTGTAATGCTAATATTTTAAGTGCCAAAGTCATTACTGAATACTGTTTGTTTCACACTGATAAATAATAATGCACATTTATTGTGGCATTGTCCGGAGCTGAGGAAGAAATTGCCAGTGGTCTGGCTCACAGTAGTTACATTAAATCAGCAGCTCATGTTAGTTGCGTTAAATCTGGAAGGAGTGTTGGAAGGTGTATTAGCAACAAAGGTGTCAAGCTGCACTAATCGAAACTTCAGCTTCCATAAGTGTGGTAGAACAACAGAATCTGTTGATTCTGAAAGAAAATCAAAAGGAGTTATAAATGTGTAGCATTAAGTATTGCATTATAGTGAGCATTAGCCAGTGAGATTAAATTGTTTAGATTTAGAAATGGAATATATCGATGCCTTAGTGGCTTAAAACTACTATTTAACTTGTTATGCACTTAATGAACATATGGCTATTAATGATTTGAGTATTTATTTTAATGGTTAATATATTATTTTTATTTTATTTTAATATATGTTTTGATCTATTGCAAGACCTAATAATCAGGCTTATGTTTGCTCAGGGTCTGTATGTGTGTGTGTATATATATAACCTATAAATATACACAGTATATAATGTTTGTGGAGATGGGATGTTTGTAGGAATAGCTATATAAAACTAATCTGTACTAGGTTACCAAAGCTGGCTGATTTATTTTTAGCATGAGGAAATTTTGTATGTTTAATCACCATCATTATTAGGCTTCATACTGTGTCTTGGACAATCAGATATATTATATGGCCATTGTGAATGTATAAGGCAAGAACTGGAACAGATGAGGCACCAGTCCAAAAGTTTCACTGTAATGTTGGGGACAGCTTCGTACAAATAATGGGGTAAGGGGTGCACACATAAATTGGTCCCTGACAAATTGGGCGAGAGGAGACCCTAGTCATAGGAAGTGGTGTGTATGGTACTGAGCTTCAGTGTGTGACAGGAATCTCTGGATTGGAGCGTTAATGTTTGGGTTCTTATCACTTAGGAGTATTAATGTTTTAACAATCTTGTAAAACGTGAGAATACCTCTTATGTACTGATAAACAAGTAATGTGTGTGTGTGTGTGTGTGTGTGTGTGTGTGTGTGTGTGTGTGTGTGTGTTTTATATGTCCGTGGCAAATTCTGGAGAACAGTTGTCTCAGTTCAAAGAATCATTTTGGAAATGTGAGGGATCCTGGTAGAAGAAACCTAGTTTGAGTGCTTGGAACGGATTTTACTTGCTTACTAATTTGTTAAATTGGCTACTGCTCCCGGAAGCGTAATTAATGGATTTGTCATAAATGTACTTAATCTCTCTCCCCAGACCTCAGGCCCAGCTTTGAGCCCTATTGTGTACAGGTAATGAAGAAGTTCTACCTCTGGCCTGTCTAGGTCAAACTCTGCCCCCTCCCAGCCACTTCCTGTTTAGCTGAGAAGCGAGCAGAGACAGGCAGCGCTAGACAGCCACCTATAGCTGTGGTGACAATGCGTAGCGCAACCTTCACCCAGTCTGCCTCCCACCAAATGCTGGCACAAAAGGAGCAGTAAAGCAAAAAGGAGCCTGACTTTGTGAATGTTTAGAGTAAATGTAATAATGAGTAAAAGGACTGTAAGGTGTGTGTAGCAGGAACTTGCAGATACCTCATGCTCTCCCTCTTCATTTTAAAAAACAAAGGAATCATCGAAAGGCATAATAATCCAAGTGCCATTTTCTTCGTTTGGTATTTTCAGCCTTTGTATTGGTTATTGCTGAGAAATTATGCTTTGTGCATTTTGCACTAAATGTCATGAGGTCATATATGCTTTGTGGATTAGAATTAGTTTACAGTGTGAGGAGTTGATCATATTTTACTCTTAACAATCTTACTGTGTTTAGAAACAGTGGTTTGGTAGTCTTTCCTTTTTTTTCTGTTGACCAAATCATGGTACTTCTCCAGGACTGCTTTGTAGCAATGGGTGTATTAGACACTTCGAGTTATTAATTTGTGAAAACTGTTTAAAACTGTGGTTATAATTGGTGGTTATAAGTAATGTGCCTTTCGAAGTCTTAAAAGATAAAATATAACTGTGTACTCACTTTTTGTTGCAACCAAGCAATATATTTAAAGGGATTATAATAAGCTGCATTTGATAGCTGTAGTTTACAGTATGAATGTTTCATAATCAGTTTCCAGCATTGGTTTCCCTAGCTTTAGAATATATAAAACGTGCCTGTTTTAGTTATCTTGCCTATGAAGGCATCCATTCTCATTTAATTTTCTTTTGTGCTGGCTTTTTTTTTTTTAGTAGAAAACGGCTATAACGTATGCCCACCAAAAGATAAAATTAAATTTAATGCATGTGAACTGAAATTCAGTTTCCTGCTGGTGGAAAAAAGTTCTATTGCACTTGCATTGATTTGTGCAGGATGTTTTTCTAGCAGTATTAAGTTCAGCTGGCTGATGGTCACATGGTACTAATGCCACATAGGGCATGCACTTACATGTGTTGTGGAATCAATACATGGGCTCTTGACATGGAGATACAGAACAGTTGCACTGCTTTTAATCCTGAACTTCGCCTATACATGTTAAGCTGGAAGATAAGGCATGCTCAGAACCAATGCAGTTCTTGCCCCCTCTGACTCATGTCAATATGTACCAATGCTCCAAATAAAGCACACTGTGATGTCCCAGCTAACAGCTCCTGCTGAACTTGCCCTGTGAGCACTCTGATATCAGGTGTGTTAAATTATTATGCAGTTTAGATATGCAAAACTTAGAGGTTCCTAATCTAAAATAAGAGATTTGTCTGAAAGTGTGTGCATGTGTGTGTGTTGCAAACTTTTTGTGAAGATGCGTTCTGTTGTTTTCTTATGCTGGGATGTTGGAAACTGAGAAGTGTAGCAGATGACCATAAAGCTAAATGTGACTCTAGTTTGCTTTATTATTTGGCATTTGGTTTAAGTAGGGCTTGTTTATTTGTAGACAAAATGCTCCTAGAATGTTGCAACATTTAGCCTTAGGATGATCTACAAAGTGAGTAGTGCATTAATGGCTTGGCTCCAGAGGAGCCCTTCTGCAAATTGAAATTCGACAGCGGGAAGGTGATTTCCTTCCATCCCCTCTGCTCCCACCCTAGCTGTTCCAAAGGATCACCCAACTCTGCAGATCCTTTATAGCAGGAAAGTGTTTAATTCTGTAAACAAAAGACCACCGACCAATATCTGGATCCATTTCCCCTTTTTTAAAAAACCACCCTGATCTTCTGTTACCTAAAGCTACAGAATTCACCAGGCAAAGGTTGCTTTGCATGTGCCCAGAAGCACTTGTGCTTTTCGTTCCTGTTCTTTGGAGCAACACTCTCAACGCCTAGTTCTAAAATTCACAGTCTCCCATGGGGCTGTCACGGGGTTGCTGCTTTGAACAAAGCTCTACTGAGCATATGGAATACTTTGCATTTTTTTCTGAACTTTGGCTATAATAATATCTACAGTGAATGGACAAAACTAATTAGATAACATTATTTTGGTTTTAATGGTTCTTATTGACCATTGTTTTAGTTACCTATTTTTATGTTTGATGGTGTTTGGTTTTCCTTTAATGTTTTGCACCAATAAATGCTAGAAACAGGATTATCTGTAAAAAAACAATGCACCTTTAGAATGAGGAAAAGAGACTGCTTTCATTTAAGCCTAAATATTCTACTGTAGACACCTAGTCAGCCTGCAAATTTACAAGTTTTTGAGAAGTGTGTGTGTGTGTGTGTGTGTGTGTGTTTTTACTCGCCTGTCTGGAAACCCAGCTTGAAATTGTACCCTGCATGGTTTTATGGGTCTTAATCACCAGCACACTTAAACTTTTGGTAAACATTTATATAAAATTACGAAAATGAATAGTTGTACTTGTAAGTGCTTTTACAACAGAATTTCGTAGCATCTTGTAAGTAATTTTAAAAGTCAATTTTTTTTTGTTCTAGGTTTCATTTTTTAAAAGAAAAATGTGGGTGGGTTTTTTTTTGTTAAACTTAATAGCAATACTACAGTTTTGAGTGGAAAAAAAGTGTTAAGTTACTTATTCAGGTTTAGCTGAATAGGACAGCTTTAGCTGGTTGGTGAGAAACGTTTAACAAAACTGCAACAATTAGTAATATATCTTGCCTGCTTTGCCAAATAAACTATAAATTATTGTACTTGTTGGCAAAATTGATAAGAAAAAGAGATGGCTGTATACTGGGCAGGAGGTCAGCTCAAAACAAGTGAGTACAGAATGTCTGGTGTGCAGAAACACGAGCCTTTTCTTTCAAATGAGACCATTTCCAGTGCATTTTGGAAGAGAAGCTTAAATTTGTTTTTATTATAATGTGAAGACATACTATTTTACTATGCTGTTTGATACCTTGTGCATCTTCAGCCGATCTTGTCGAATGGTAAAAATGTGTACACTTTGCTTACATAATTGAAAAAACTATTGTGATTTGATCGATTGGCTAGTTTGAACTGAAACATGTTGACAGAGAGGTCAGTTGCTATAAGATACTTTACCGCTGGTCAGTTCAGGTGCTGATTCGTTGTATCTGGAAACAATTGTGGGTCTGAAACCTGCAAAAATCCCACTTCTACCTCTCTTGTAACTTTCTGGATGATGGTGACGATGGTGATGATGATGATTGTTCTACACTAACCTGTGGTATTACTTTAAGTGAAATGGGGTGCCATGTAGCTATGGCTAAATCATCACTTGTGTGAAGTCACTTAACATGTGTTCACTTGTCCATTATATTAGGAAAATGGTATGCTTGTAGAAAGGCACAAAAAGTTGTGATGTCTTGAAAAAGGTTTGTTAAGAGTTTTGGTGAATCAAAATCATGGTGAGTGATTTATTCTAGCATTGTTTTTATATATAATGTTAACTTGGTATGAGCTTGATTGCTACAAGTATTTTCAGTTCTATCTATGTTTCATTATCTGCTGCTGGTTCCCATATAAGATATACTATTTTCCTTTTCTTTTTTGTAATTTTCACTCAGTGCTTATTATGTGTGCTGGCTAACACTTAAACAATTAAAGTATTTAATATTTAAATGACTCTGGTTGTGTGATTTCAAGAAATCAGTGAAGAGAAACGACCCATTAGGAAGAAATAAGGGAAATCAAAGTGGGAAGAAGCCCTTAATATGCTACATATGTGTGCTTGGAAGCAAGCCCTACTCTTCAGTGAGAAGTGTCTTGGACTGCAGGTGTACGGTTGCATCTAACTGCTTTGCTGATGGTAAGCCTTTTGCCAGCAGAAGAGGGAGATTTTTGAGCATTCCCACTCTTCCATGTATCACCTCTAAAGCTGCCACAGTCTTCTAGAAAAGATTTAGGGGGCTTTGAGGACTGCAAAGAAGAGAAATTACCAGAAGTTGCTTCCTTCCCCATTTGACCAATTGAAGCCGAGTAACAGTGTTGGAGAGAACAGAGTCTGCATAGTAATTCTAATCATACCCTTGATTAAGTCATTTTTGCCATAGAAGTAGCTGTTCAGTTTGTTAGGTAATGTTCCTTCTGAAGAAGCAGTGTAAAACCATCTACTGGAAAGTGGGAGACCTAGTCACAAACCCCAGACAACTATCTAAGGAGTCCCCTCCAGTTGTGATGGGAGAACAAGGGCATCCTACCTTAATTCTCAATAGAGGTTTGCCCAGATTAAGAGAATCTACAACCTGTTCTATTTCTCACTACTTGTCATATTCAACTGGTGCCTTATGCAAACACATGGACTTTTGATCCAGTAGGAGGCATCCAATCTTCAATAAGGAGACAATATTTTGTTTATCCCTCCCCATCTCACAGTGCCCCCTAAAAAACTCTTTGAGGGATTCTTGACCCACCATCTCTACTTGAGGGGGGAAATCAGTGGATTTGTGGGTGTGATGGCCTGGGACTCGGGCTCGGACTCAGAACCAGAGGAGTCTCAGTCCGCACTGGATCCTCTGCCTCAGGGCGGCATCTGAACTGAATCTGGAGCCTGATTCTGAAGAACTCCAGTCTCCACAGGTTCCCCTGCAACAAACCCCGGCTGGGCTGAGTCAGGGGCCTGAGCCTGCCCTGGCTCCAGATGTGGGGATGACCTCGTTGCCTTCAGCTGGGCCATCACTTACAGCTGCTCCACTACCGGTTGGGTCAGGGGAGGCTGAGGCGGTCCCTGGGCCTAGTAACCCACCGACACCTCCCGAGCTGCAGAGACTCAGGTCTGAGAGAAGGAGAGACCTGAGTACTCACAGGAGGAGTGCTCGCCTCCAGGCGAGACAGGGAGGTAAGTCACCGGGGGATCAGAACCGGCCGTTACCCCACAAAGATAAAAGGCTGCTGGACCCCGCCCCAGGTTGTGGGAGCAACATTGCTGTTGCTGGAACCTGCCTGTGATCCTGTGCCTGACCTTGCCTGGTTTCCTGCCTTGGCCCTGTCGGACTGACTCCTCATGGAATCCTTGTATTCGGGCCGGACCTGGACCGCGTGGCTCGGGTTAACCCCCGGGCCCAGCACAGTGGGGTTCATCTGACCCCCGCCTTCACAGCCTGAAAATTGTTTAATATTTCCCAATCTGGTTTTGTGAATGGTTTTAACTGCTGCTCTTTCCTAACAACGTTTACAAGAGAATTTTACCCCACAGGGTGCAATGATGGCCACCAACTTGGATGGCATTAGAAGAGGATTGGACAAATTCATGGAAGGTGAGGCTACCAATGGCTGCTAGTCATTGATACTTTTGTGGAAATTCCTGCATTGCAGGGGGTTGGACTAGAGGACTCTATGAATCTATAATGGCTATGTTCTAGCTACTTGTGTCAGAGACAATATTCCTGGGATTCATAAGTGCATCCCAGCAGGGCTTGTCTTACGTTCTTAAGTGAGACCTGCAAAAATGCTCTTGCATTATAGAGTTTGGGAGAGTGTCCACAATGCTTCATGTGGGGTTTTATGGAGCTCAGGCTGAGACCCTACCTGCCCGTGGACTGTCTCGCCAGAGTGGTGAATGCTCTGGTTATCTCTCGCTTGGACTACTGCAACACGCTCTACGTGGGGCTACCTTTGAAGGGGGCCCGGAAACTACAACTAATCCAGAATGTGGCAGCTAGACTGGTGACTGGGAGCGGCCGTCAGGACCGTATAACACTGGTCCTAAAAGATATTCACTGGCTCCCAGGACATTTCCAAGCACAATTCAAAGTGTTGGTGCTGATGTTTAGAGCCCTAAATGGCCTTGGCCCAGTGTATCTGAAGGAGCATCTCCACCCTCATCGTTCAGTGAGGTCCAGCGCCGAGGGCCTTCTGGCGGTTCCCTCACTGCAAGAAGCCAAGTTACAGGGAACCAGTCAGAGGGCCTTTTCGGTAGTGGCGCCCGCCCTGTGGAACGCCCTCCTATCAGATGTCAAAGAAATAACTATCTGACTTTTTAGAAGACATCTGAAGGCAGCCCTGTTTAGGGAAGTTTTTAATATTTGATGAATTACAGTGGTGCCTCGCAAGACGAAAAGAATCCGTTCCGCGATTCTTTTCGTCTAGCAGTTTTTTCGTCTTGCGAAGCAACCCCATTGGCAGCTAAGCGGATTAGCGCTATTAGCGGCTTAGCGGGCTTAGCGGCTAAGCTGTTAAAAGCCTATTAACGGCTTAGTGGCTTTGAAAAAGGGGGGGAAAGCGGGGGGGGGGGAAATGGCGAGACTCGCAAGACGTTTTCGTCTTGCGAAGCAAGCCCATAGGGAACTACGTCTTGCGAAGCGCCACCGCAACGGAAAACCCTTTCGTCTTGCGGGTTTTTCGTCTTGCGAGGCATTCGTCTTGCAGGGCACCATTGAATTGTATTTTAATCTTTTGTTGGAAGCCGCCCAGAGTGGCTGGGGAAACCCAGCCAGATGGGTGGGGTATTAATAATAATAATATGTCTGTGGCTCCCAATATGACTTGCTTACCTGCCTTTAGAGGCAGCACAAGTTCCCATGCCTACTCAGTGGAATAAAGCAGAACTTTGTTTTGCCAGCTTTTGGAAACATGACCTCTGTGTTCTATACCGCTGGAGGCAGCAAGTCTGGAAGGCAGCAGCATTTAAATATTTGGCTTCCAGCTATGCATTCATCCTGGACTAAGGAGCAGAAACCTGGCATATTGCCCTTGGCCTTTATGAAGTCATTGCAGGTGTTTGACAAGGCTAGTCCTTTACAGCAGGGAAGGTTTGCGTACCAGACCCATAATTATTAATCAGTTAATCAATTTTGCATCCTGCCCTTCATCCCAGTTTGGTTCACAAAAGAAACATAAAAAATGAGAATACAGAATAAAGCAAAAACAACCCTGTTCCCACAAACACGTTTTTAAATCCGTAGAATGTTCATCAGCCAAATGCCTGGTCGAAGAGAACTGTTTTCTCCTGGCGCCTAAAGATGTGTAATTGGAATGGTTCCAGGGGTTGCTCGTGCGTAAGCCGGTGCCCACACCTGGCTGGGTTGCCTAAGTGAACCTTTTCTGTCCGGACAGCCACTCACCCGTGGCTGTCTCAATCGGTGGCAGAATCCGTCAGTGGGCGTTTCTTAAACTTCTTCCAGCAAAGAAGTTCTTTGACGCCCAGTCTCCTCCTACTCTCCCTGCGTGGAAGCCTTCTGTGCAAGGAGGGCGTAGGCAGCGGAGGACCCTTCCTCCCCCCGCTGGTCCCCGGCAAGGAGTCATGTGACTCCCTCTCAGATTCCCCCATCTGCCCCCCTTCTCCACTGGAGCTGAGCTGATTCCCTTCCCCAGAAGATGGGCTGCCTCTCCCAATCCCGGGACGCTCTCTGGGATCACTCTGGAGCTCGCTCTCTCCCTCCGGCACTGATGGCAGTTCCCTGACAGTAATGAAGGCGCCAGGTGAGCATCCACAGGGAGAGCATTCCACAAATGGGGAGCCACTGCAGAAAAGGCCTGTCATCCTGTTTCCCACAGAGGGGGCACACAAAGAAGGTCCTCAGTTTATGACTGCAGGGTCCAGGTCGGTTCATATGGGGAGAAGTGGTCCTTGAAGTATTGTGGTCCTGAGCCATTTAGGGCTTTATAGGGCAAAACTAGCATTTTGAATTGGTCCCAGAAACTAATTGACAGACAGTGCAGTTGAACCAGGATCAATGTAATATGCTCAAACCGTCTTGCCAGCTGCTGAATTCTGCACCAGTTGGAGTTTCCAAACCATCTGCAGAGGGAGTCCTACATATAACACGTTGCAGTAATCGAACATGGAGGTTACCAGGTCATAGACGGAAGAATTCTTCTCCTTGCCTGCTGCTCCAGTTGGCGTTGGAAGCCTCCAGGGGTACACATGCCATACAAACTCAATGACGGATGAGGGAAGGCAAACACTGAAAGACAATCGAATGTATTCTCTTCCAGTCTTCTATTCTGTTGTTGCTAAGTCGTTTAGTTGTGTCCGACTTTTCATGACCCTATGGGCCAGGCACTCCTGTCTTCCACTGCCTCCCGCAGTTTGGTCGAACTCATGCTGGTAGCTTCGAGAACACTGTCCAACCATCTCGACCTCTGTCGTCCCCTTCTCCTTGTGCCTTCCATCTTTCCCAACATTGGGAAAGTCCAGGGAGTCTTCTCTACTCATGAGGTGGCCAAAGTCTTGGAGCCTCAGCTTCAGGATTTGTCCTTCCAGTGAGCACTCAGGGCTGATTTCCTTCAGAATGGATAGGTTTGATCTTCTTGCAGTCCATGGGACTCTCAAGAGTCTCCATATCTTCTCCAAGAGTCTTCTATTCTCTAGAGGTGGTAAAAGCTGGTTGCATCTTCTCCGCCCGAATGTTAATCCTTGTGCCATCTGTGTGACATGCAAAGGGGCAATTCAGCTGACCTTGACAGGTTCAAGGGCATTGTACTTCTGGAACTGCAGACATGAAGCTGAAAGTTGGAAGATGCAAGAGGCATAAAAGGAAGTACCTTCCTGTTGCTGGTGAGACGTCCCGTGCACTGGCAGACGAAGGAGGCAGGGGAAGCGGTCCGCCCTGGGTGCCATGCTTGGGTTGTGTGTGACAAAATTCCCCTGGGCGGATTGGCATGGTGGCGCTCACACCCCC